CCAGCATGCTGCCTTTTTTTTTTTAATCCACATTTGTGTTTCAGATCATGTAGAAAGGACAGAAAGTGAGCAGGGAGCAGGGGCTTTTGTCTGTAAGTATCTGCAACGCCAAGCCACAGATTTGTGCTGCCTTCTCTGTCTCTCTCTTTGTTTCTTTCCATTTCTCTCTTGCCCTCAGCTGGACTCTGCTGCAGCAGATTCACTTGCCTCCTGGCTCCACATTTCCAGCAGGCTCTCTCCAAGGAGATGGGAAGGGTGCAGCCTTGTGTCTCTTGAACTCTTTTGTCTTTCTGCTTTGAGGTGGGGGGTTAAACTGGGGGTTTTGATGCCCAAGTTTAAAAAAAAAAAAGTGGGGGGAGATTATATTATGCAGAGGGCGTCTGAGGCTGTGATTTTTCTCCCCCCACCTTTGCAGCCAGAAAGCCAACAATGCATTTTTGAAGGGAATGCACTTTGCTGTTCTCGCCTGCATGCACAGCTCTGGGATTGGGTTTTTCTCTCTCTTTTTTTTTTTTCCCCCCCCCCCCCCAACCTCCCTGTAAAACAAATCTCCCTCTCTTCTCCGCCCTGACACTGGATTCCTCTCAGGCTGCCGGGATTTATTTTTAGAAAGCAGTCATTCTTCTTGCAACAGCTTCTTCTGCATTTTTTGCATGTATGGCAGCTGAACTTTTTTTGCGTGGTTCCTTGTTAAAAAACAGAAAAAGTGCCTTTGTCGAAATGCCTTTATTGTTCTCAAGCAGATGAGTGGCTAGAGAGCTGCATGTTGCATGAACTTGCAATCTTCTGTCCAGTGTATGTTGTATGTATGTGTTTAAATCGATGCCTCCTATCTATTTACATTTAATACATACAGTTGCTATAAATGTATAAGCCAAACTTGATTTCAGAGCTGCTAGATTCTCACTGATGAGCACTGCTAAAGGAGGCGTGCAGTGAATGTGAACATTCAAGGGGGTTGTATCTTGGTAATTTAGCATAGCATTTTGATAAAATGGTGTAACTTTACATAGTCTTCGTTATTTTCCTGTCTGAGGTTAGGTGTGTATTTAAGACGAAAGGTTATGTAATGCAGTGCCATTTCCCAAAATACACACTCTCTGGGCCATTGAATTGTGAAAGTGTGACACTTGTATTTGCTGTCTTGGTTGCAAATAATCCAGTTGATAGTGTATCTTGGGAACAATAGACAGTGTTTCCAGTTGGGATAAAATAATCTGTGTCCTTGTATGATTTTAAAGTGGGCTAACCATTGGGTATGTTGCACTTGAAAGATGTGCAGAGTACTAAAAATAGCACAGGGCTTTGCAAATCTAGGTACTAGGGATTCCTTTGTCCTATATTTAAGCCTACAGACCACTGAAATGCAGAGAAGCATGATATGTGCCTAGAATAATTTGCATTCCTTTTGATCTTAACCGCTGAAACCTATATTTGGCTCATCACTATTGTGCTGGCAAAAAGCCTTTTGAATTTTGCGACAGTTGTGGTGATAGGATTTTTTTTCATATTTTTTGTCTTTTTCTTAATCATTTACAGATTCTTCTCCTTGTGCTACTTGAGCGAAACTGCAGTCTCAAGATTTAACAGTCTAAAAATGGTAAGAATTAGTTGTTCTAGCAGAGTCAGAAATTTCTTATGGTATAAAATATAAATATTAACCTTCCTTTCCCCCTCCCTCAGACACATACATGAATATGACCTTAAAAGACTTCTTTTGAGATTCTGGGGATTTGCCATATAGTGATTAATGCACTCTGAAAGCCTTTGTGAGTTGGATCTCTCATTTTCAGGCATTTTGAATAGAAACCTGAAATCTTTCTTTGTGCAGTAAGTTTTATTCCATCAGAACAGGAGAAAGTGTATAGTATGTTTCTTTATAATGCACATCATAACATACACGGGCAAGAATGCCCTTAAAACAAAGCAACAGACCAACAGCTCCATCACAAGGAAGGAAAGAAGTGAGTTTCCATTTAGCAAGTGAAATAGTTACTTAATATCGTTCTGTAGGTGCAAGATATAAGATTCAAAACTAATTTGCTTAATATAGGGTAAGTTTGTACCAGGACAGCCTCTTCTTGTGGGAGGAGTTTGTTCCAGATAAAAGAAAACTTAGGCCTCAGCTGAGCTGATCTCATAATGCTATGAATTGAATGAAATGACCAAACAGCACTGTAATCATTATTAGGTCTTTTCAGTTTACTTTTGGTACTTTTTGTGATATTTTATTCATTAGTTATACTGTAAATTCTTATTGAGGATATATTACTAATCGTAGAGGTCAAATATGGTAAATTCCTAATAAAAATATGGCATCCCCTGACACAGGCCCGCCCAGTTTAGATTGTCAAGGGCCTTAAACAGTTGGTAAGTGAGTCATTGAGGAAAGGACTCTTCAGGTTTGTATACTTTTTTTAGAAGGATCTGCCAAGGCAGACAGTAAAACGTGATGTTCTGTGTCCATATTAAAATACAGTCATTATTCAGAAAAATGAAGAATGCCTGCTCTGGCATACCATTGGCATATCTTGACTGTTAAATACTGTTATCATCAGGCTTCTAAAAACAGGGCTTTTTAATATTTAGAGGGCAAAATATTGTACTAATGTACATCTGGCTAAGTCCCATTGTCTGAAGTAAAATTACAAGGGGCAGACACACCATAGTTGGTCACAAGTGGGAAGCTTCTAAGTACACTATTTGTAAAAAGGTGGGATTTTGTTAATTAGCAGAAATTATGGTGTATTGTCTGGTTCCTTCTTTTTACACAGGGAGAAGTAAATCGGAGACAGTTGCATTAAAAAAAAAAAAAAAGAAAGAAATCTGTTGTGAAAATGACTTTTATTTGTCACCTGAATCTTTTATCATTTGCGTCTTCAAAAAGTCATGTTCTCTGGAATGTGGTTTTAGTGAAACGTATTACTCACCTTTATACACATGAATAATTTAGGGTAGAGAATAGAAATGGAGATGCTTATAATGAATAAAAGTCATGTTAATAAATACCCAATTCATGCTACAGTGATGTTTCTAATTGGACCATCATTTTGGACCAACCAGCCCCTGTCATGGGAGACCAATCTACATATATTTTGGTAAGATAAATAGAAATTTTATGATAATAGGCAGGGTGGTATATATGGTAAAATTGAGTAGGCATGGAACAAAAGAAGATACTTGGGTTTTTAGGCATAAAATGGCCATTGATTTTTGTCAGCAGATAGTTCCATAAATCAAGCAAGATTTCTGTAGTAGTCTAGTGGAATTAGTTCTGTAAAGCCAACTTGCATGCCAGAGCATAAAATAAAAGATGGAACTATCCAAATGTAGAAAATAAAACATAATTGCCCTATCTGTTAAGTGTTTCCATTGTTAACTCTGTCCTATAGCATGAATGGAAATCTCAGTTGGTTGCTCTTGGAAAGTTTTTTATTTGTTGTGTAAAACCTAGTTCCACAACTTTTTTGTGGCTCTTCCATCAGCATTTCGGTCAAAGACTGACCAGATCCTGTTCTGGCTTTACACGCTGTGCAGGGTTTCATGAGGTACAAGTCGTGGCAGAATTTTACTTCTATTTCTCTCTCTTTTTTTTGTTTGTTTGTTTGTATGTTTGTTTTTGGCACAGTACCACTGAATGAAATGAAACTGGACCCCTGGCATACTTCTTTCTTTACAGTAGTGTCCATAGTTGCCATTGAGAGAGTTCTTGTATAGTCATTTGTTCCAGTTTTATTTCTGAGTTCTAATATACAGGACAGTTCCTTTTTACAGGCCAAATAGAGACAATTATGTATTTTAGTGTATAACAAAGCAAAGTTCTTCTACACAGTGTGAAATATTTTGACTTTTTTAGTGTACCCCAAGGTTCTGTCCTACTTCTGCTGAAGTCAATAGGAATTTTGGTGTTCAACTTTACTGTGAGCTGAATTGGGTTCTTTTTTTTTTAACAGTTTACTACTTGACCAAGTGAATACATATGGTTAAGACTACAGTAAAATTAGAAGAGGGACTAGCAGATTTGTTAAATAGTGCAAATTTATCCCTGGTGTAACTCCATTGAAGTCTTATCTTCTCTAGATGTTCCTGTATGTGCCTTTTTTATTAAAGCTGTTTTACAGTATGTATAATTTGAAATGCATTTGGGGCTCAGTTTTCAATATTTGTTCTGCTTTATACAGCTGTTTGTTTTTTTTTTTTGAAGGGGGTGGTTCTTCCAGAATTGTACTTAATGATTCTTTAGGTAATGGGCTCAGGACATTTTGCCCCTAGTGTACAAAGTTACCACCAGTAACAATTTAAAAAGTATTGAAGACACTGAAATATTCACACAACATTCTTCTCTGAAGTTTTAACTCATGGATTTTTAAGGCATATTATATCACATCACATAATTTGAAACTATAAGGGATCAGTCCTTAGCTTATGTAAGTTTCATCCATTTAAAATGTGACCTATGATGGAAGACAGAGCTATTTTTTACTCTCTTATGATCTAGAAAGTCCTGAGGTGCTGCAGTTTTCTTTTTCTCAACATTATAATTTGGGGGGAAATGTCTATTTTTTTTCCTGGCAGGCTCTCTAGACAGTTGAGATTACAACAGAATAGATATTTGAGTTTCCTGTAAGCTAAGAAAGGCATCAGTTTTAATTCAGATTTTAATAAAAAGTAAATCTTCTTTTTTTTGTGGTCAAAATGTATTTAACATGTATGCTCAGCAGTTGAAAGGGGTGGAAAAAAGGTTTTGTCAAAGATTCAATGTCCTGACCTTTCTGTTAAGGAATAGGAAGGCTCCCACTCTCCTTTCTGGATCCTTCAAGCCTTCGAGAAGACCCCTGGCAAAACTAGGAAATGTGGGGGGGGGAGGGAAGGAAAAATAAACCTGAACAAGCTTTTTGTCCACATCACAAAGAAGCAGGAAAGTGCAAAAGTTTGCTTTTCTCTCCACCCCCATTTTGTTCACTTTGCAGGTCATCTTTAAACAGGCATTCAATTGCAAAGAGACTGCAGAATCAGGTACTAGGGAATATGAGACGTGGGTTTACATGGACAGTTCCCAGTAACTCCAAGAAGAGTTTTGATGTGCGTGTCAAAGTATGAATAGGTTTTTAAGAATTTAAATTTGATCCATGTAGTGGTGGGGGCGTTGAGAAAATAAAGATATTATGTTCTAGGACAGGCCATTAATTTCGAGATGATATTTTATAGTATGGTAGTTTTATTTTAAATCATTACTGTTGTTAGGTGGGATGGGGTATAGTGTATTTACATTAACCCAGAATAAAAATCCCAGGAATCAGATCAGTTCAAGCTGAGCTATTCTAACAAGCTGTTCTTTTCTGATGTGCGCTTGTTCTAGTATTCTTATAGTGCAATTCATGCACAATTCATTTTATGTCCTTTTTTAGAAAAAGGACAATGGGGTGATGATCCGTTAGAGAAGAAAACAGTAGAGGGGAGATACTTCTGTTAAAGGACCATCTCATTTCTTTCTGGAAGCTCATTAAAAAATGGATAATAATATCATTCAAGTTGGGTAAAGAAATGCAGGAGATTAAGCTTTTCATGCAAAATTGACTTAATTTAACCTATCAAAAACAAACTACTTTTAGTCTTTACACATTTATCAGTCCCTGTAAAGATTTTGTACATTTAAGTTTAACTTTTTTTAAAGTTTAGTTGGGACAGCTGTTTACAGGTTTCCTGTAACCTGTGGAAACCATCTGTCCAGGCTTGGCCTGATAGAGATGTCCTTATATATTTCAGACATATATTTCTCTCTCTCTCTCTCTAATATATATGAGAAAGGAGGACTTGGAATGGGCAATGAATCCAGGTTAATAGTAGATCCTTATAGGCTAAGGATAACTAAGGTTTCATGCATGGTAAAGTAGGAACCTAAGGAGATGATAAGCCCTTGTACTCAACAACCTCTAACCAGTACTGAGCCTGGGGCTGGAACTGAGATCTTCCGATGGTAGGTCAGACCACTTATCTCTAAGTACTATCAAATGATGAAGTTGTGGTGTTGTACAGATATAGCCAATGGCAGAATATAGTTTACAGGGTTTAAACGAAAGTCTAGTTATGAGATTATAGCAGCCTAACTGTATGTCTGTATGCATGTTTTTAAATGTGCTTTTTATATTATAAGAAAGTTACTTGTAACGGTTTAATCTAATGCACTTGATTACTGAAGACTTAAGGAGATTTAACAACTTTTTGTCTAATCCCCCAGATAAACAACATCTCAACATTTCTATTAACTTTTTCAAATGCAGCAGAAAAACACATTTTTCTGATTACTGCCATAGCAGGTTAGTTGATGAGCATCTGAGCTGCTTGGTGTAGATCTTCTGAAGTGGAGGTTTGAATAGTTTTCATCAGACAAATATTCAATGAACTTCGTGCACACAGGCTGCAATATTAAAAATAAGAAATAAGAGTTCTTACATGGTTTATAATATTACACGTGAAATCATGACCTTTTGCTATGGGAGAGTAGGGTGCTGAAACTCAGCAGTCCATTGAAAATTCAGTCCGTTGTAGTTCAGCTATCTTGCGCTAAATTCTGGGTACTGGGATGAAAGAGGGAGATTA